TTGTTTTCTAGAAATAGTTTTATATTACTAGAATTTAAAAATTATAATTTGCTTGACAGCTAAATGACAATTACTCCAGCCTGTTGTTTGATTGTAATGTAAATCAATATCTAATATTTAAACATTGAAAGTTGATATGCATCTTACATCAATCTGATGTTCTGTTGTAGCTCATAGTGGAGAAAACTGCCGAGCATCCATCTGCAGAGTTCTCCCTCGTTGAGGATGTGGCCCTTCACTGCACCTTTTTAATGGACAGGTTGAACAAGCAGCGTCTGTTTCAGCCAGATCTATGTGACGTAGACATCGTCCTCATGCACCACCAGACTTCTTTCCAGGCCCATAAGGGTGTCCTAGCAGCCTACAGCCCCTTCTTCCACTCGCTGTTTGCATCCAGTAAGGAGCTGCGGCGAGTTGAACTCTCTCTGGAGACCCTAAGGCCTCAAGGCCTGCAGCAGATCCTCAACTTCATCTACACCTCCAAGCTGCTGGTCTCCAGCTGCAATGCCCAAGATGTGCTCAAGGCTGCCACAGTGCTCCAGATGAGCAACATCGCCACTTCCTGCAGTGAGCTCATTACTAGAGGCTCGCTGGACATCAGTCCCAGTGTGGACCAAGCCAAACAGGAAGTCGGCGCTCAGAGCTGGAGCAACAGCAACTCGGTGAACTTCAACTTTCACATGGAGATCAAGCAAGAGAAGGACCCCACCTGTGCCAGGATCTATGGAGGGAAAAGTGAAGTGAACCCATATGCTGTTCAGGTTGGCGATGGGCGTCCAGTGCAAGTAGGCGGTTGTAAAGTAGAAGGGAAGGAAATGGAAAACCTGAAGGACTCTGAAGATCTTGATTCATTTAATAGAGAGCAAATTATTGTGGAGTTGAACCTGAACAATCAAACACTTAATGTGTCTAAAGGTTTAGAGGGAAACGCAGCAGCTCAATCTCCCTTAGGACAACAACTTCCTGGCAAAGGAAGACGGAGCGATGAGACTGTTGAGGAATCAAGAGACAATGTGGCTTTGGATAAGGAGGAAGATGAAGGCGAGCAAAGTGAAGATGATGATGTGAGACTTGAAGGCACCAGTGAAGAGGAAGGAGAACACACATTACCTGCATTCATGTCTGAAAGACCAGTACGACAAACCCGGGCCTCTGCTGATGCTGTAGCGATGGTCTCCAGGAGAAACAGTGTGAGAGAGAGGCAGGAGACGGCTCATGGAGGGAACAGTGAGGAGCTTCTGGACCAGGATAGCTTGAAGTTTCAGAGCTTCACCTGTGTGAGGTGCCCCAAGACATTCAACAACCGCTGGTACCTGGAGAAACACATGAACGTGTCACATAACCGCATGCATATTTGTGACAAGTGTGGCAAACGCTTCCTAATGGAGAGCGAGCTACTGCTGCATCAGCAGACCGACTGTGAGAAGAGCATACAGGTAAGCTCAAGGGCTAAGAGAATGACATCAAATTCTTTTTTGACCAGCATAATCTTTTGGAAAGTCATAGAAACACTGTCTTGGTTTTTTGTTTTTTGCTACTGGGGTAAATGGGAATGTAAAAAAAAATTATTAAACATATATAAAAAAACATATCTGTATTTAAAAAAATTTTAATATATGTTTTTTTGAGAGAGTGTCACGCCCATGGACTGTCCTTGTGTTCCTGTGTTGTGCTTTGTTACCCATGTGCTCCCCGTGACCCAGTTTCTCCCGTGTTCTGATTGTGCTAATTTGATTCAGGTGTGTTTTGTCTGTTACCCCTCGTTGAGTTCCTGGTACTTAAGCCCTGTGTTTTCCTGTGTCCTGCGTCCAGTGTTAAACGTCAATTCCCCATGCTACGTGTATGTTCCTGCCTGTGAGTCTTTGTGTGGATTAATAAAGACTATTATTCGTGAAACTCCGACGTCTCCTTCGCTCCCACACAGTAGGCACCGTGACAGAACAGTGGACCTAACGAACAGTAAGCGGCGCCCCTTCTCCCCGTTTTGTTTTCCGTTCCCCGTGGTTATGGAAACCGCTGCGAGATTCGCTGCCCTAGCCTGTAAGGACCTTCCTTTTGTGGAGTATGCCAGGGAATTCTGTGGGCTCGCCGTCTTGACGGCATTGGATGACGCCACACTGAATTTTTTGTTCTGGATTGGGGCCAATTACCATCTCCCCGTCGACCTCCCAGACACCACTGGACTATGCTGGAGGGAAGGGATCCTCCGGTGTTTGGAGAGTGTCCGGCCCCGATCCAGAACCGCTCCGCAGTCAAGCCAGCCGGCTGCTCCATTGTCAAGTCCGCCGGCCGTTCCGCAGTCAAGCCCTCCGGCTGCTGCATTCTCAAGCCCGCCTGCCAATTCATTCCCATTCCTCAGCTGACAGCAGCTGTCTCCCTCACCTCAAACCAAAGGAGGAATCTGAGGAGGAAAAAACTGTTTGCTCCAGCCCCCGAGTCCGCTCCAGTGTCGACTCCAGTTCCCAAGTTAAGCCCAGAGAGGGCTCCTGCTCCTACGCCCAGCCCAGAATGGGCTCCTGTTTGCCAGTCAAGCCCAGAGTGGGCTCCTGTTCCCAAGTTAAGCCCAGAGAGGGCTCCTGTTCCCACGTCCAGCCCAGAGAGGGCTCCTGTTCCCCAGTTAAGCCCAGAGAGGGCTCCTGTTCCCAAGTTAAGCCCAGAGAGGGCCACAGTTTGCGAGTCAAGCCCAGGCCCGAGATTTTCCCCAAGGAATTTTTTTGCTCCCCAAGCTGCCTGCTCTGCCATGGCTTCCTAGTCTGCCCACTCCACCATGTCCCCTTGAACTGCCCGATCCAACCATGAGTCCCGGAACGGGTACCGCCCTGGAGGCCTTCCGTCCCATGTAAGCAAACTAACAATGAAATATACTTCTAAAGCATTTATTAATCTTTATTAATATTGATTCCAGCATTTACTAATACATAATTGAAATGACAAGTTGTATCTATTAATGTTAGTTAATGGACCTGAGCTAACATAGACTACCAATGAACAGTTTTTTTTTACTAATGTTAACAAAGATGAATAAATAGCCTACTGTAATAAATGTATTGCATATTGTTAGTTAACGTTAATGTATTAAATATAGTTAACAAATGCAACCTTATTGTAAAGTGTTACCCATTTTTCCTTTTCTTTATTGCGGACAATTGCGATAAAGAAATAATGCAATGCACCTTCCGGGAGGGGGAGGTAATGTCACACCCATGGGCTGTCCTTGTGTTCCTGTGTTGTGTTTTGTTCCCCATGTGCTCCCCGTGACCCAGTTTCTCCCGTGTTCTGATTGTGCTAATTTGATTCAGGTGTAACCCGTCTGTTACCCCTCGTTGAGTTCCTGGTACTTAAGCCCTGTGTTTTCCTGTGTCCTGCATCCAGTGTTAAACGTCAATTCCCCATGCTATGTGTGTGTTCCTGGCTGTGAGTCTTTGTGTGGATTAATAAAGACTATTATTCGTGAAACATTTAATGGTTTCACTGGTTATTAATATTTAAAAAACTTTTAACATAAAATATCTATTTGACCTTTTTATGACAAAGCAAGGTTATTTCAGGTTGTGAAATGTCATATGGTGTGACTCTTCAAAACTTTATGATATTATGTATTAAGAATTTGTCAAATTTGTATAAAAATATGTATTTTTATATCTAAAATTATATTTGAAAACCATTTTCCTGAAAATTGTATAAATGATTTTTAAAACCATATGAAACCAGCATGAATACAGAAAATACATATTTCTGCACTTCACCTAGATAATTAAAACATTTATTGGTAACACTTTACAATAAGGTTCCATTTGTTAACATTAGTTAACCACATTAGTTAACATAAACTAACAATGAAATATACTTCTAAAGCATTTATTAATCTTTATTAATATTGATTCCAGCATTTACTAATACATAATTGAAATGACAAGTTGTATCTATTAATGTTAGTTAATGGACCTGAGCTAACATAGACTACCAATGAACAGTTTTTTTTTACTAATGTTAACAAAGATGAATAAATAGCCTACTGTAATAAATGTATTGCATATTGTTAGTTAACGTTAATGTATTAAATATAGTTAACAAATGCAACCTTATTGTAAAGTGTTACCCATTTTTCCTTTTCTTTATTGCGGACAATTGCGATAAAGAAATAATGCAATAAAATAATTGACCCAGGAACATTCAAACCCATGCAAACACAAAAAACTCAATGCAATGGACAAGATTTGTTTTTACTGGTCTTTGTCTCATTTTGTAGTGTTTAACCTGTGGAAAAGCTTTCAGGAAGCTCTGGTCGCTCCATGAGCACAATAAGATTGTTCATGGCTATGCTGAGAAGAAGTACACTTGTGAGATCTGTGAGAAGAAATTCTACACAATGGCTCATGTACGCAAGCACATGGTTGGTGAGTTGTGTTAAAGTTAAATTAAATTAAATGAAAGTTTCCTCTCTCAAACCTTTACTCCTAGTCTTTTTAGGGCTTTGACAATAAATCGATGCATCGCGATTCGTGGATCGATTCTGAGAGTTTCGGAATGCATCGTGATTCTCTCTCAAATCGATTCTGAGCTTAGTTTTTAACAGCAGATGGCGGTCTAGGCTAGTTTTTAGCCGCACACTCAAATGCTCACGAAGAAGAATGCTTACATTACTTCGGCTGAGTAATGTTAAGTGGTTAAATGTATTTGCACATCGGCTTTTATGATGCCAGATTTAATGTAAACATCCTTGTACTTCGCTTCAACCTTTTCGAACTTTATGAATGATTATTTTAGGTTCAAATGGTGCGTGTGTAAGGAACTGGAAGTAAGCAGAATTCGGCTATTTCTAAAGCACGCAGTGCCATCTGCTGTTAAAAACTAAGCTCAGAATCGATTCAAGAGAGAATCGCGCGATGCCTTCGGAAAATCTCAGAATCGATGCAGAATCATTTCTCGATTCGCGATGCATCGATTTATTG